GCTGACCCATCGCTCGTGCCTGTTTTGACCCTGGGAAAAGGACAGGGAGAAGGTCAGCCCAGCTCTGCTACAACACCTCTTCGCCTGGGTGGAGCTGGGCGGTGACCTGGACACTCTCCGAGCAGAATCTCCATGGAAAGTAAAAGTGTGTGTTGCTTTTCTGATGAATGGATTTGGTAAAATGTTTTCTCACTTTTTCCTAGACATCGCCTGGTGGTATTACCAGTATCAGAGAGGTAAAAAAAGTTTAAACTAACTTGACTTCTTGGTCACATTACTGTCTAGGGAAGAGCTATTTAATCAAGTATTTCTATTTTGTAATGAGTCTTCACATTCACCAAGTTTCTGGGCCCCTTGTTAACAAACCCCACCCGTATGGAAACAGTTGGGAACATTCTCTTAGAGACAAGTTTTAGGAAAAGCTTTGCTCCCCAAAGCAACTGATACATTGCTTCTCATGGGCAATAAAATATATATAAGAGCTCAGAGCTAATTTGTGGCTCCAGTGTACTAACCACTTAGAACAAATGACCTGAATTTCTATGTTGTCTTTTTCCCTGTGGGCTCGACCTCCTAATCGAATCCACATTTTTCTGAGGCAGTGTTTCTTATTACTTTATCGCTCATTATTTTATTATATTTATTTCACATAATTGCTTCAACTCCTTTGTGAAACAAAGTGGAAAGAATTAAACTAATAGGGAGGGAGAGAGAAGGTGCAGACGGAGTGGGGTGAGGTAGGAGAAGGATGTGAGGGTAAGTAGCACAGATTAGGAACCAAAAACTGAAATGCCCCTGGGGTGACAGAGGTGACAGAGGGGACAGGGCACTAGAGGGGACAGCCATTGCTCAGCTCTAGCAAACTATTGCTTTGTGACAACTCAAGACCAAAGTTTTCAGAGAATCCCATTTCCCTCCCAAAAAATCAGAAATCTAAATGTGTACACGAACCCCTCATCTTTAAAGACTGGCAGTTCATTCAAAAAAAAATTAAAACACATTTTATAGGTCAAACGGAGCCTGTCTTTGGGCTGTGGTCATGCCAAGGGACACCATCTTGTACCCTCAGAACTGGTTGGGTGGGCATAACGTCTAACCCGGAGACCCCAGGATGGAGGAAGCATTTTCCAGTCCAGGGAGAAGAAAATGGCCATGGTCTTGGTCATGGTCATGGTCACAGGCCTAAGAGAGGAGACACCTCACTAGGAAGAAGACCGAAGACATGGGTCCTGCTGCTCCTTATCATCTGAGGGTCCCACCTGCACACAGGCCAAAGCTTGTTGGGGCAGAGCCACTGTAAGGCTGGTCGTGAGGGGAGCAGAAGCCATTGTAGGGGCACATGGAAGCCAGATCTACACGAGAGGGCCCGGGCCAGCAGGATTCTAGGTCCAGCTCTGTCACCAGCTGTCTATGCAGCAGAGCTAATACTAGGGCAAAGCTACTTAATTACAGAGTCTGGAAGAGATCACCTGTGCTACCAGGCATTGAATGGGCTCCCTGTGTTTAAATTGCACAGGAGCTCACTGTGAGAACACAAGGCAAAATGCCCTGATTCCGTGCATTCTCTTCTCTGAGGGTCTAAAGCTCTCGTCCCACACTCAAAGGAGCCTGTGACCCCAACACATTAAGGACCACTTATTTTGAATTGTCTTCGGCCTCTCCTTCCACCAGGAATTTCCTGTGCCGTATTCTCTGCAGTTGGTGATTCAGTCTCGTTTTTACTACCCCAGCGATAGGTGGTTCATCACCGGTGAAGGTTCTCCTACTTACAAGAACCCATTATCTGTGAGAACACCCATCTCCCCAATGTTCGAATGGAGAATGCAATGGTCCCCCCACTCCCCGCCACACACAGGGTTTAGTGACTTACAGGCCTGAAAACATTTTACAAATTAAAAGTACTTTATAAACAGAAGGTATTCCGATCCATTGTTGTTATGTGGTTACCGCCATAGCATGGAATCTCTAAGTTCATTTTCTATTACCCCAACTCAATCAGACTTGGGAACTTGCTCATCATTATTTTTAATAACAAAAATAATAATGACAAGCAGAATTTGGCCTCAGAGACTCTTAACAAACCTCACAAGAAACCATCAAGCAGGCTCCCCACTTGTTAATTCTGTTTCTTCCTCCACCCAGGGACCTGGCCCACCCTGTTTTTTTTTTTTTTTTTGGCTTTAAAAAATTTTTTTTCTTTATTGATTTTAGAGAGAGGAAGGGAGAGGGAGAGAGAGCTAGAAACATCGATGAGTGAGAATATTGTGTGGCCACCTCCTACATGCCCCCCACTGGGGATCTGGCCCACAACCTGGGCATGTGCCCTGACCGGGAATCGAACCGGCGACCTCTTGGTGCATGGGGTCAGTGCTCAACCACAGCAGCCGGGCCCACCCTCCTTTCTTTACTGGGACCACCTGAATAGTGCCCAGGACTCTCCAGGGCAACAGGAGGGATGCAGACACCTTTGCGGCCCCTTCCAAAGTTTCTTCAGAAAATATTCACAGTGGCCAGACCACAGGCCTCCGAGGAAAGGGAGGAGAAAGCTGGAGTGAGGCAGAGGCATGCGCAGTGAGGGCACCCCTAGAAGGTTGCCCCAAGTGTAGACAAATTAGTTGTTTTCGTCCGCACAGCATGACACGTGAGGGTCACGGTCAGCAGAGTCACAGAGAGAGAGATTAACGTTAAAACAGGACATCGCGCATTAGTGAAGGAAATGATGATTTCATAGACATTTTGCTCCTATGTATGCATATGCTGGATTGCGATGGAAACTCTAGTTTTTACTACAAAACACAGTAAAAAAAAAAAAAAAAAAATCGAGGACACGGGTTTAAGCCCCGCATGCCCACGCGCAGGCCACTCCCAGCATCGTGAGCCCCAGAGACATGAACTTCCCACTGACATCACCACAGTCTGACAAGGAGAGGCCGTGAGAAGGAAAACAACTCGAAATCTTGACAGTCAATACCTGAGTACTCGGGTGCAGTCGATACCTGAGTACTCGGGTGCAGTCGATACCTGAGTACTCGGGTGCAGTCGATACCTGAGTACTCGGGTACGACAGAATCCGTTTGAATGGAAGTCGATCCCGCTGCCCAGACAGCAAACAAATCATTTATTAATCAAGTCCAGTTCTACCTAATGAAGTGGGTTTAATGTTTGATATTTCAGTAATTACTTGGTGCATTTTAACGATGGCTGGTAAGTGCAGCTTCTGAATCAGACTCTCTCAAACTCCTGCAAAGAGATTTCTCTGAGCTTGTGAGGAATCCAATCACAAGGACCTTCACAGACGTAAGACAATCTTGTAAGAATGTCCTTTACGCTTCTAGGTAAGATGAACTTGGGAAGGTTTACTAGACACCTTCAAAAATACACCGTTTCTTCCAAAAATACATTTGCACCTCCTTACATTTTAATATAACTTTTACCTCTTTTCAGAGCGTAAAATATCTATGCATTTTTTAAAATTAAAACTGCTATTGAATCTAACGCTAGGAGATTTAAACCAACCATTTGACTTGTATTTTGAAATGAGCTAAAAATCTATGTGAGTATTCTGAATTAGACTTAGTTGGGGGTTTTGTTACTTGTTTGTGTGTGCGTAATTGCTACTTGTTAGCTGCAAACATAGCAACAATGAAAGGCTCTGCAGGAACTGGGAGGAAATCGGCCACTTGCGGCTGTGTCCTGTAAACAGAGGATCTTATTTGTGTTGAGGAATCTGCCCTACTCCCAGCAGGATAAGGCAATATGTATTGCCCAGCAGTCAGAAAGATGAGAACAAGGAATTGTTACCATATTCCTCTGCCTCTCCCTTGGAAGCACAGCCAAATGTCTAGTACCTTGGGGAAAGGTACAAGTCAAACACGTTGACGGGTTCCTTTCTTCTTGAAATCAAAATACCCAAAGGAAAAGTGGTGCAGAGACAGACACTGACCAGAGCGATGCACACAGCGCAGTCCTCCCGATCACTGTCCTCTCGGGGAGAAGCCCGTCCTCACTCTCCGTGGCCATGAGGTGGGACAGGGCCCGTGTGCATTTCCAGCAGCCTGCCCACTATTCTTCCCAGCCCAGATTTACAGTCATTCAATATATGGATTTGGTAACGTCTGCATGACAACAGTGGGCAGAAAGGTTAGGTGGTAATTGATTTGTGCTTGGAGTAAATTCATAGGAAGCATTCTGGCAGGGCCCAGAGGAAAACACTCACTTATCCTTCTGCGATGGTAAGACGCTGAAAGTTCCACTTACTTGATCCTTCAGTAGGAGATGGGCAGAGTTCTCGCTTTAACTGATTGACGCTTTCTAAATGACTGGCAAAATGATATTGCATTGCAGTTAAACTACCACTTAAGACAGCGGTTTCGAGAGCCCTTCAATGCCCTTGAAGCTTTCATTCCTATCAAGTAGCTCCCATTTAAGTCCTTTTCCTATTATGTAAGCTACCTAGTAAATACCATAAAACAATACTGTGAAATACATTCATATTTTCACATTAATATTTAATGCTGGAATTTGAACTTGTGTGCTAGATCACGCTAGTCTTTCTCTAGTTTGTCCCAAAAGGTGAGCGTCTACTCCACGCTTTCTTAATAGGCTTCTTTCCCTTCACTGTTTGGAGGGTGTTGCTCAGCCTGCTCACTTACCTGTGTCTCTGGAATATTCGGATGTTCAGTGAGCAGCAAACTGAATATGCAAAGACATTATTTCAAAAGCAAGAGACAGGCTTTCACACGGGCTTATTTTTAGCACCTCTGCGCTCAGCTCCGCTTGGAACCTGTTTCTCTCCAGCACTGGAGCTCCCTCACCTGGACAAGAGGCTGGACGGAGGGTGAGACAGAAAGGGACTGGGCAGGGCTCCCAGGCAGGAAGGTCACCTGCAGGGTGATCCCAGGCCGTGACCCTGGGTCCCAGATCACGACAGCACCCTTGAGACAGCCCGAGCTCAGTGACCGCCGAGGGCAGCGTCCCAACGCCATCTCCTCTGGTTCCAGATAAGATTGAAGATGAGTTGGAGATGACCATGGTCTGCCATCGGCCTGAGGGCCTGGAGCAGCTGGAGGCCCAGACGAACTTCACCAAGAGGGAGCTGCAAGTCCTCTATCGAGGCTTCAAAAACGTAAGACCCCACAGCCTCTGGAGGTTCAGCAGGGCTGCCCTGGGGCCATGGTCTCCCGACGGCCAAGGGGCCCAATCGGGGGGCTTTCCCATCTGTGTCTTGATAAAAGGAAGAGGGTCAGTTTACGAAGGGGACACGAGAGCAAGACCACATGGCTAGAAAGACCCCAGGTGGGGATGAGGTTCCAGCCTTAGCACGACCCATTCACACCGGCGCTTCAGCAACGCCGGGCCTCAGGTCGGCTGCTAACCCAGCAGAGACCGATACGTCAGCCTGAAGGCCAATGTATTAATTTACCACACGTTTCATATGTTGAACCTCATGATAGCCTTGTTGAGAAGGTCCTGTTAGCCCCATTTTACAGCGAGGGACGTTAAAGATCGGAGACTGACTCGTTCAAAGTCACAAAGCTTAGAAGGGACTGAGCCAGGTCTTTCTCATCCCAAAGTCCAAACTCTTTCCACCTCCTGTGCCTGTTCTCTGGGGAAGTCTCATCACTTTGCAAAGCAGCGTCAGTCCTGAGGTGAGATTGCCCCCAGGCCACGCACCTCAGAGACACGGAAGTCCCTGCCCCCCAGAGATCACCAGGAACCCTAGACCCCAAGGCTGGGCCCTCAGACACCCCGCTGACTCTGTCCCTTTGGCAGGAGTGTCCCAGCGGTGTGGTCAATGAAGAAACGTTCAAGCAGATCTACGCACAGTTCTTCCCGCATGGAGGTGAGTCCGACCTTGAAAAAGATCCCGCCCGGCTCCCTCTTTGGGGGGCAGCCTTCCTTTCTCCCAGTCCATGCCCCTGGGCATCTGCTTCCCCCTCAACACTGGGGAGGACCCCGAGCAGGATGCCGCCCTCATCACAAGGTGTGCGGTTCGCGAAAGCGGCAGCAGGAAAGAGCCCCGCGAAAGGACCCTCTGCGGGGGAGCAGGAGAGACGCAGCAGTCGCACAGTCTCCGGGGCTCTGGCAGCAGGCGTTTGCTCCCGATGCGGCAGCCGGGCTTCCGAGAGGCTAGGCCCTCGCTGAAGATCACACGGCTCGTGAGCGGCAGGCCCGAGGAGGTCCCGTAGCCTCCAATGCAGGGCTTGCGTGTCCGGCCCCCCGTTAGGCCGCACGCCCTCCATCTCTTCCTTAGCAGCTCGGGCAAACCAGGACTTTGACAAAGAAACTTTTGTAACTACCAGAGGCCATAAAAGTAAACTAACCCAAAACGATGCAGGGAATGTGAAGTTGTGTTTATAGATCTAGGTTAGCGAGGGTGCAGTCCACAGCTGCTCTGTTGCCCTGCCTGGCTCCTGCGGGGGCCCTCGCTGGTCCCACGGGCCTGGGACCTCAGTGGCTCTTCTTCTGGCTTCCATGTGTCACATGCCACCTTCCTCTTTGTCCCCAGGAGCTAACTCCTGCAGGACCCTTCCCCGGATCCTGATGAAACAGAGACCCAAGCGCCCCAACACAGCTGGGCAGCAGGCAGGAGCCCTTTGAGGTGTGGGACCCAGTTCAGGGCCCCCACCCAAGTTGTGGGGCAACTTCGTCCCATTCAGGCCGCAGAATCGGCCTGAGCCACTCTTGGTTGAGTTCCGACTATGTGGTGGGTTTGGTGGCTTTAATGATATGACTGAAAAAAATTAACATGCTTTGCCCTGGCCAGTTTGGCTCAGCAATTAGAGCACTGGCCCGTGGAACAGAGAGTCCCGGGTTCAGTTCCCGCTAAGGGCACATACCTCGGTTGCAGTTTGTCCCCGGCCCTGGTTGGGGTCGTGTGGGTGGCAGCCACTTGGTATGTCTCTCTCACATTGACATTCCTCTCTCTCTTCCTCCCCCTCTCCCTCCCGCTGTATCTGAAGATAAATGCAAAACTGTCCTCAGGTGAGGATAAAAAAAAAAATTAACATGCTTTTTCAAAGATGTCAAGAGATAGGTCTTGCTGCATCCCGTTGTGCAGAGATGGGAAAGTGAAGCTCAGAGAGGTGGCTTCAGATGCCCGAGGTCACACAGCTATGTGGTGACAGCTGCTACAAACCCAGGGCATCGCACTGCCACTCAGAAGAGCATCTTCATACAGTCACCGTGTCACTCACCCACCAGGATCTCTGGAGCTGGCTAAAGGGAGACAAGGGTCTGTTTTGGCTCTCACTAGAACTCCCTACCTAAGCCCCAGGAGAGCCAAATGGATCCGGGTCCATACCTGGGGGTTTGCCACTCCATGGGCATCTCCTTTCTATGCCCCAGCATCATCCTCTTCCCTTTCCTACTGTTTTAAGTGATTGTGCTCCGCTCTGCAGAGCCGGTTCCCATCCCCCGCCTCTCCTCTCTGCCTTTCAGATGCCAGCACCTACGCCCATTACCTCTTCCACGCCTTCGACACCACCCAGACAGGCTCGGTGAAGTTCGAGGTACATGAGTCCCTGGGACTCCCTGGTCCCCGTCTCCCCCACCTCTTCATGGGGTATTGGGGAAAGGGTTGGATCATCAGAGGGCCTCAGTCAACACAAAGAAACCTTCGTCCATTTAACAAGCATTCCCTGGATGTAGAGGGAAGAAACAGCCGCGCCCCCCCGGGAACTCGAGCCGCGGGGAAGAAGGACACAGTTCATAGCGCCCTGCACCGGGGCTCGGGGTGGCAGGCTCTGCGCTTAGCGCTGTGCGCGTATTAATTCACCGAATCCTCCCAGCGACCCTGCAAGACAGGGAGCTATTTATTACCAGTTACAGAAGAGGAGAGTAAGGCGAAGAGAGGCCGAGTGGCTTTCTCAAGGTCAAACAGTAAAGGAGGGATTTGCCCTCAAGTAGGGTTCTCGGAGTCCACTGGGGTGTTCTCAGCCACCAGGGTGCCACCACCCCTACAATAATCGCAGCCATGGGACGAGGCGATACCAGGGGAGGCTGTGCTCACCTCAGTCTGGAGGTATCAGCACACACAAGGTGTCCTCCTCCACGGGGCTCCTTCCCGAAAAGCAGGGCAGGTGGGGAGTGGGGGAGGGGCACTCCCCACAGAGCTTGGCCATATCCTCCCGCCACAGAGGCAGGGGACATACCGTTGTGTAGAAGCAGCCACAGAGTCGGACCCAAAGACAGAGCTCCCCCCACCCAAAGGCTGGGTGCTAATGTCGCTGCTTCCTCCTCCACTTCTCAGGACTTCGTCACCGCTCTGTCGATTTTACTGAGAGGAACCGTCCACGAGAAGCTCAGGTGGACGTTTAATCTGTATGACATCAATAAAGATGGATACATAAACAAAGAGGTAAGCGAGCTGAGGCCGGGGCAGGGGACCACCACAAGGCAGGCCTCTAACTCGGCTGGAACCCCCAGTCCCCACGAAGAAACTGTCTGAATGAGGAGGGGTCTGCTTTGGGGCTCACAGAGCTGGGGCCCGGCCAAATGAAGCAGCTCACCTTTGACCTCCCCATCGCCCCACCCCGCCCCTTTCCCAGGCACTGACGGACTCATTCGTTCTCACTGGGTCACACACATTCAATGCACATGTCAACGTGGGTCTAAGTGGGTTATTTCGGTGTAGTTACTCTTCCCATTTCACTAGACTAAGGGCCACCAGTGAAAGCCAAAGGTTGAAATAGCTCTGCAGTTATCGCCTCGAAGAGAAAAGGGAGGTTTTGGACGAAGAGGAGACCACAGTCGGGGCATATGGACCTATTCCACCTACTGATAGACCGCAGGAGGGGGTGATGGAGGGTGCAGCCGCCTCTAAGGAAATCGTCATAAATGATTTCTGGATCTTCACTGCTTGACACGTTTGGAGCCTCAGAATCCATGTGGTGTCCGGCCAGTGAAATGCCCACAGGTCCATCTCAAAACTGTCTGCTGTGTCCGGGCATCGCAGCTGAAGCTGGGATTTAGCGTCCATGACACCCACTTCCTGAGCCAGCCCTCCCCTCTGCCCTGCATGGCTCTCTCCAATGCGTAGTCCTCATTCATTCCGTCCTGTGTTTGCTCGACACCTATTTGGGTGCTGAAGATGAAGTGGTGAACCCCGAAAATGGGAAAACCCTAACACCCCCTAATAGCAGATGTGTTACATGAATTCCAATATATACATATAATGGAAATACAAGTGGCTGTTTAACATCATGCAAGAATAATAAGATGGAAAATTCATATGATACACTGCATTTATAAAAATCACTTTATGCCCAGCCGGTGAGGCTCAGTTGGCTGAGCATACTCCATGCGCCAGGAGGCCAATGATTTCCTGGGGGCTTGATCTCCAGTAGGGGGCGTGCTGGAGGCAGCCAATCGATATTTCTTATTGATGTTTCTATCTCTCTATCCCCTCCCTTCCTCTCTCTGAAATCAATTTAAAATATATATATTTATTAAAAAAATTAAAATCACTTTATAAGGCAGTATGTATAACATTATACAGAGTAGCTCAGCTTTAGTCAGATGTCTACCTCTGTTGCAATCAGCTATGGTTGAGATCACTCGTGCCCAGAGGGACAGGTCACCAGGCTGTATTTGTATACAGTTACCCAGGCTTGCCCATTCAAAGGAATTAATGGAGTGGGGAGACAGTCATCCAAAAATGGAGTATGGGCTGATCAGTACATAAACACGTCCACCCCAATCCCAACTGAGGGTAACCCCTCGCTGAGGGTGACGCTCAAGAAAGGGTAACCCACCCAGGAGCGTCTGAAGGCAACAGGAATTGTCCACTGCCCTCTCTCGGAGGAGGCTCCCAGAACATAGCCCCTCTAGCTTGCGTTCTAACTCCCTCTCCCCCGCTGAAGAAGGTCCTTGTAATCACTTTCATTCCTAAGTGGAGTAAGGAGCCCCAAACTGTCATCTAAGAAGAGCTTGACCCCAGGGTTTCTCCACTGTGTGCTTCCGTGCCCCCTGTCCAGGAGATGATGGACATTGTCAAAGCCATCTACGACATGATGGGGAAGTACACGTATCCTGTGCTCAAAGAAGACACTCCAAGGCAGCACGTGGATGTCTTCTTCCAGGTAGGTGTGCACCCCTGTGTGCGGCTGACGCTCACCTTAGATCAGTCAGCCTGCTAGCATCTGAGCAGTGGCTCATGCCCAGCCCCACACCGTGCATTGTAGGACACAGACAAGAATTACAAACGCATAGTTCTCCAGGAATAGACCGTCTCGTTCAGCAGACAAATATACACTACTGAAGAAAACAGGGGAGTACAGGTTTAGCACAGTCTCTAAGTCTGAATTTTGAAGTTCCACAAAAATTCCCGGGGCACCGGAGTCCACAGAGAAGGCGTCATTAAGCACATTTGTGTAGGGGGTAAGCACTGGTGTCTACATAGTGAAGGAAAGAAGCTTGGACACTATGGGGGGATGGACTGAGAGGTCTTTAAGTGGAAGACTTCATCCTTGCCTGGTAAAGAGTAGGTGGCCGCTGCTAACTCGTGAGTGGAAAAATGGGAAGGGCAGAGTGGTATTTTAGTAAAAAAATCAACCGAGCAGTAGAGTATCAAAGAACGCCAGAGCTCATTCGAGTCTCATCCTCTGGCCGTGCAGATGGAAAAATCAGAGGCTCGGAGGAGCTTAGAGACTCATTCAGGGTCACACAGTGAGTGACAGAGGCAGAAGGAGAAACTTGTGTCCGGTGTTCTTTCTGCCTGACAAACAGGCTGGAAGAATCCCAGGAGATGCACGAGGGTGTCAGTGGGATAAGCTGGTGATGAAGTGACGAAAGTCCGGAGCGTGTCTTTTCGTTTTAAGGATGCTCCTGGGGGTCAACATGCTACAACCAGAGCCAGGTGGCGTTGTCTGGCCAGGGGGAGACCACCCTCATTCTCGGGGCAACGTGGCTTCATGAGAGGCAAGTTTGGGAATGCGGATAACCAGGTTCTTTAAAGCGCTTCTTCTCGTGTCTTTCAGAAAATGGACAAAAATAAAGACGGGATCGTGACTTTAGATGAATTTCTTGAATCCTGTCAGGAGGTAAGGACAGACCGCAGGGTGCAATATCTCTGAATCTGGGACGGGAACTCTGGGGCTGGTGACCTGCAGAAGCAAAAGTGAGAAACCTGTGACCCCTCAGGTCAGAGCCACTGACACCACCAGCAACAAGTCAGAATTCCAACAGTCGCCACTGCGCAGAATGATGTGTGGTTGTTCTCGGCCACACGGGCTGAGCCGGGCAGCCTCAGAAGGGCTGGGGGATATGGGAGCCCCGAGGGGTCTCTGAGAAACAGACTTCCCACGGGGGCTGCACCATCATTTTTGAACCTGCCTCTGGCTTGATGACCACTCCCCAGACGACAGGGGAGGAACTGGAAAAACATCTGAAGCTGTGATTCTCAAACTACAGTGTGTGTGAGAACTGCCTGGGGTGATTCTAGAAATGTCCATTTCCAGACCTCAATCCCAGAGACTCCAGATCTGGGGTCGGGTCTAGAAAACTTATTTCTTTTAAGAGTTTTCTTTTCCTTTATTGATTTGAGAGAGAGAGAAAGGGAGAGGGAGAGAGAGATAGAAATATTGATGAGAGAGAACATCGATCGGCTGCCTCCTGCATGCACCCACTGGGGATCGGGCCCACAACCTGGGCATGTGCCCTGACCAGGAATCGAACCGGCAACCTCTTGGTGCATGGGTCGACACTCAGCCACTGAGCCACACTGGCCAGCCTAGAAATCTTCATTTTTAACACAAGTGCCCTACACCAATGTTTCTAAAACTTTAATGTGCAAACCAGCCTCGCTGAAATTCTTGTGAACACCCAGATAGATCCTCCTTCAATCCATCCAGGCTGGGACTCGAGCTGCTACTTCTCTAACACTCCCCCAGGTGGCGCTGCGGCTGCTGGTCCTTGGACCACCTTTTCATTAGTGGAAAGGATACACTGGCCCTGGAGTCAGCCAGAGACTGACTTGGAAATAATCATGTTCATCTACTTGAGGGAAATGCATTTATACCCCCACCTTATTTCAGAAAGGTATACGGTTACTCAGCTCCTACTCAGAGCTGCAAGTACAAGAAAGCTGGGGAGACGTTGTCAATACATGCTGAGCACCTGCCACGTTCCAGGAACATTGCATAAATCTCACAACAACCCTGAGAGGTAGAGGTGCTATATCCAGGTAATATTCTAACTCTTTAATGACCGGGATGGACTGAGAATCGACCTCTGTTCACCAACCTTGGCCCGACATCCTAGAGCAGTGCCCTAGAGGACCCCGATAAACTTGGTAGTAACCCATTAGTTGATGGATCTTTGGGTGGTCCAGGGGTCCTGCACCAGTTACCGGGTAGCCAGAGGGGAAGATGCTGGGGCAGGGGGAAGCTCAGGTCAGCAGCTATTCACCAACAGGTGAATTTCAACATTTTAATCAGTGTGAAATGGCTACACAGCTCTATTTATCATACCCATTTTAAAGAAGGGAAAATGGAGGCATTGCAAGGTTAAGAGGTGTGGGGAAGGCATGGTAAGTTATGGAGATGGAAGTTGAACTCCATCATTCTAATTTTAAATACCATGCCCTACTGAGTATGCTTTTCTAACTATGCTTACCAGCTTTTTAATTCAGTTTCTCACATTAGCAATTTCTTTTTTTTTTATCCTCACCCGAGGACATTTTTCCATTTTTTGTACAGATAGAGTGGGAGGGAGAGAGAGGAAGGGAGAGAGAGAGAGAAACATCGACGTGAAGGGACACATCGAGTGGCTGCCACCCGCACGACCAACCAGGGCCGGGGACAAACTGCAACCAAGGTACGTGCCCGGGTCTCTCTGTACCGCAGGCCGACACTCTAACCGCTGAGCCAAACCGGCCAGGGCACATTAGCAATTTCTTTAGCTATTCATTAATTAACTCACTGGTTTTACCAGCCTATTGTATAAGTAGATACTATGATTGATACCATTTTACACATGAAGAAACTGAGGCATGGAGAGATTAAGTAACTTGCCTGAGGTCACAACTTTAAGTGACAGAGCCAGGATTTGGCTCACTCCAGACAGCTTGACTTGAGAACCTTTATACCTAACCACTGGGAAATACTCCTCCCTGTTCTAGAAACTTTGAAAAGATTTCACACACCCAGAATCAACTTTTGTCTTTGTTGATTTTCTCTATTATAGGTCTGCTTTTGGTTTCATGAATTTGAGCTCTGAATTATTCCCTTCCATCTACTTTTTTAATTTTAATTCTATTTTCTAGGTTTTCTCCTAGCTTCTTGAGATGGAGGTTTTGATCACTGATCTTCAACCCTTCTTTTCTAACATATATGTTTAAAGAGAGACGTTTTCCTCTGAGTATTGCTTCAGATCCCCCAGCTTTTTAAAAAATCTTTTTATTGACTTTTGGAGAGAGAGGAAGGGAAAGGGAGAGAGAGAAACTTTGATGTGAGAGTGAAACATCGATCGAATGCCTCCTGCATGCCCCTTCCAGGGATCAAGCCCACAACCTGGGCATGTGCCCTGACCCAGAATGGAATAGGCAACCTATCAGTGCCCGGGACAACACCCAATCAACTGAGCCACAACGCCCAGAGCCAGATGCCCCAAATGTAGATGTCACATTTGCATTATATTTTAATTCAAATATTTTCTTCTCTGACCCATGAAATACAGCTCATCAAAACTAACAAAAAAGACGTTGAAAATGTGAATAGTCCTGTGTTTGTTAGAGACATTGAGTCTGGAACTTAAGACTTTCCCACAGAGGGAATGGCAGGCTCAGATGCCTTCACTGGTAAATCCTTCTAAGCATTCAAGAAAGAAATGATTCTAATTTTATGTGAACTCAAAGACCAGAGAGAGAGGAAAAACTTCTCAGCTTGATTTATGAGGCTATCATAACCCTAATACAGAAACTTGAGAAGTCTATTACAAGATAAAAATAAAATTTCAGGCTAATATATTCCTCTGGTCATAGATGCAAAAAATCAAATTCAGCAATATGTTAAAGGGGGTTTGTTACAGAAATGCTAGGTTGGTTTAACGTTCAAGAATGAATCGGTGTAATTAATGACAGAATAAAGGAGGAAAAAATGTGATCATCTCAGTGGCTGTAGAAAAGTCATTTGATAAAACTCAGTTGCCCAGAACTTCTTAACGGAAGCAATATGCACTCTCCCACTCAAAATGTGTTCTTTCTGAATTCCTTAAGGCCAGAGAAGGTGCTCCTGGCCTTGAGTGGCTCATTTCTGGGTCCCAGCCCTCAATCCTCGCTCCTCACACCCTGAAGAGTCTTTCTGCACAGGACACCCACACTGGAGGTTTGCTGGCCAGAGCTTCTCGGGCAGGAGCCCCACGAATTCTAACCACTGTCTCTTCTCCCGCCCCTTCCCAGGATGACAACATCATGAGGTCCCTCCAGCTGTTCCAAAACGTCATGTAACTACGGACACAGCCATCTGGCTCTCAGAGACGTTGTACTAAACCACCGACTTAACACCTTGACCTGCTCGCCTTCTGATTTTACACAATGACTCTGGGACAGAAACGCCTTCTGACGCTCGGGAAGAATTCTCTGCCGAAGACTTTCTTTGGAACCCAGCGCCACGTGGCTCAGTCTCTGATAGCCGGCTCTTCCTCCTCCCTCTTCTGGAGAGACACAAGATGAAATTGGAAGCATGCTCATCTCGTCACGCTGCTGCCCCGTGGACGGTCCCTCGGCCTGAGCTTAGACAGTAGCACACACCTGTCTGCTTGCGCGCCCAGCCCTCTGCCACCGAGTGCAGCGGACCTGCGTGGACCCGGAGGCAAGAGGACCTGAGCCAACTGCACTCCATTCTCCGATGGCCTCCCGACCCAATGTGCCTGTTTCCCTTCCTTCCGTGGGAAGAGCAAGCGTTGTACAAAACAATGTGAGTCTACTGTGACGAGATCGGGAGAGCCAGCGCCTGACCTGTGTAGGCTAGGACTGACTTACTAAGCATGGCATTGTCTGCTGACCCACACTGCCCACGTCCTTCGTTTCCAGAGGCAAGGACCAGTCATTCTCTCTCACGCTAGCATCTGTGCTGGTCGTACAAACCCCTTCACTGCCCGGAAGGGAGCCCATGCCCAGTGGCCCGTGTCTCCACTCCATGTCCTGCTAGAGCCCGGCACTGCATGCCCCGTCCGGAAAGCCCAGAATGCCTGCAGATTGCTGTAATTTTATACCATCTTCTAATCAATAAACAGAATTATTTCTTACACTCTTACTTGTCACTTCTTCCCTGAGTCCTGCGGGCAGGAGAGCTAAGTTGTAAAAAGGAAAGGCCAGTCTGTTCATTCGGCATCCAGTTATTAGTACGTACAGTGCGCCAGCCCCGAGGAAAACATCCAATTCAGATGCAAATACCAGACCACCTGCAGATGCAGCCTGGAGAGGAATCTCTTCACTACACCTCCCTGCCGACCAGATGGCCCCTCCCAAGCTCCTCTCCTGTAGAGCCTGGAGCCTCCCATGATGTGGTTGAGGATACAGAGAGACAGGGTGGCCCGCACCTCCTGCTGATGGATGTGGAGCCCAGGGGTTGACCAAGTGGCTTCAGCCTCTAAGCAGCAAATCACCACTAATGTTGAACAAGGTGGGTCTTGGGCTCCCCACTGGACATCACATTTAAAAGATTAAGAGCTAAGAGTGGCATTCTTGGAAGTCGCAGGTCTTGCACCAGGGGCTTTGTAGACATTATCTTATTTCATGCTCACTGTAGAACATTCTGGAAGGTAGAGTCCTGGTTTAATTGACGAGGACACTGAAGCACAGAGAGACAGGGACCAGGGTAAGGTAGCACACAGCTCCTAGAGAGAGTCAACTCTTCCCACTCTATCCTAGAGTCTTCCTACGAGGGGATTCTGCCATGCCCCAAGGAACTGGGGCATCTCACACAAACCTCATCCATCTGCAGTCAGTTCAGAGAGGCACAGGCATGCTTTGCATCCGACAGCAGATGAGGAAACAGGCCAAGAAAGGGAAAGTGTCAGGTGCCAGAGACGGCCGCTGCATCTCACGCAGGAAATGCTCCCCGTCTGACTGCCCCTGGCTGCCGCGCTCCCGGGGGGGGAATTGCAGGGAACACAGCTCTACTTCTCTCTTTGCGCTTCCCGGTGCAGCCACGTGGTCGTCGAAGGCTGCTGGACACCTGGCTGGCACACACTTAGGACACCTGTACTTGGGACCCTTCCCAAGTAGGGGCTGGACCTGCATCGTGAGGCCGCACACTGTCTGGGCCGTGGTCCTCCACCCCGGCTGACACCACAATCACCTGGGCCCCAGCCCAGACCAATCGACATGGACTCCGAGGCTGGGGCCCGGGCATCAGGATGCTTTAGAAGCTGCTCAGGTGGTTTCAAAGTGCATCCAGAGGTACCATGGGGACGTGACCACACCCGGTGCTGGGAATGACGCAGGTGATCTGAGCCACCCCCCACCCCTTCCCGCCAGCTGTTTGAAAATCAGGTCTTGATCTCAAGGCTCACCACCAACCCATTTCGTGGGCTACCTGCCGCGCTGGGACCCTCACCCTCACCCCAATCCCTTTACATTAACAAGCCTCATCAGCTGACCTCCCTGGTCTATCTCCTGGCCAGTTCATTCCCCCCAAGCTTCTCCAGCTACATCACATCACTCTACCCTGCGAGGAAGGCTGCCAACTCCAGTCTTTCACACACTCACACACACACACACACACCGTCTTTGTCCCAAAGCCCAGTCAAGGCCCCTTATGCAGACGAAGGAAACTAGGAATAGAAAGCCCAGGCCTGTGTCACGCTCCCTCCACTGAACCACATGCAGTTGGTGTTCTGGCCACGGAAGCAGCGGAAACCGGCGAGGATCTCTGTGGCAGGGGGGTGGGGGCTGAGTCCTCCCACCATCTGACCCCCGCCGCCTGCGCAGTCCGAGGGGTAAAAGCCCCTCCCTGATAATGCTGACGAAGAATAGGTAAATGCTTGGGGGTTTATGGAGAAAAACAGACCGCTGTGGTGACTGATCGGAGGCTGCGCCCGCCGGGTGTGAGCGGCTGCTGCTCGCCACTGAGCCGCTAGATGGCGCAGGCGCCCTGCCGAATCCGCCGCGGACCCCGCCGCTTGGGGCTCCAGGCAGCGCCCGGGAACCCAGAGGGTGAGCAGCGGGGCCGCAAGCCGAGAAGGACGCGCCTGGAGGCTCCTAAGCCCAGCGCCAGGCTGGCTTCGGGCCACCTGTGCACGCGCAAGCCCGGCACTTGCAAAGGCCTGGCGCCTAGTGTCTGCCCTGCTACCACTGCCTTAAAATTCTTAATAAACTCTGAACCAGGGAACCCTCATTTTCACATTTGCCCTGGGTCCTGCAAATTAGGCAGCCGGTCCTAGCCAGAGCTTTCCACTGGAGGACTTAGACACCGTGACTCATCATCCCAGCCAGGTGAGGATATGGTCCCATTTTATAGACCAAGAAACCGAGGCTCAGAGAAGTGATGAGACCTGTCCAGGATCCCACGCCTGTTGCCGATGGAGCTTGCTGGAAATGGCATCTAAGACCCCAAGAGCAGGGTCCTTTTCGCCGTCTGGGAGTGGCCATGGCTGTCCCTGCCCCACATAGGCCCAGCAGGCAGCCTCCTTCAGGCCCACCTGGGGCTCACAGGCTGGGAGCGGTTGGGATCACAGCTGTTCCCAGAGTCTCCATTTCTTCTGGGAATTGAAAACCCCTGGGCAGCCTGGAGGGAGAGGCAGCCATCCCGGCCCAAGTTGTTGATCCTGGCTTCTGCTTCCTGGACAGACAGACAGCCAGCTACAGACCTGGGCCACCCGAAGGACGTGCAGGTCAGTGGGTTGTGTAGAGTGGGAGGGTCTGGTTTCCCAGGGAGTGAAACAGCCCAGGGCTGGAGTCCTGCCCCCACCCTCCTACCGCCCCCTTTCCAGCTACATGCCCCGAAGCGACGGCCCCTCTGAGCCTTGCTTTCATCAAAACCAAACAGTGAAAAATTCTCAGGGTTGCTGTGAGGACTAAATATTTCAAGTGCCTGGTGAGTTACAGGTCCTCAGTAAATATGCCTTTATTTACTTTTGGTTTTTGTCACAAAGACAGCTGGGTTATCCTCTCTGGTATCTCCCCCTTGGGGAATGGGGTGGGAGGCAGAGGTCTCGGAGCTGGTTGGAGGGCGGAGGGCAGGAAACCTGCGAGAAATGTGGTCCAACGGGCCAGACCAGCCGCCCAGAGAACCGGCTGCCTGTGGGTCTGGAGAGAGGCCGCAGTGTAGAGGCTGCAGGAAGCTGGGGGTAGAGGCTGGGCGGCAGGGAACGGAGAACACAACGGAACGCTAATGCTCATACTGCCCCCTTGTGGTCGTCCAGCCCTGGGCTGGTTTCAGAGCCTTTTCTGGGCCTTCATATTGCTGGATCCTCCTTGCAGCTCCCCTGAGAAGCTGACCTATCACCCCACTTTACAAGTGAGTGGATGACACAGGATTTGACCCCGTCTTCTGATTTTTGATTCAGGGTTCACCCCAGTACTGCACAGTCGGGGCCCACCATGGGAGGAAGGGGCAGAAAAGGCAGAACCCTCTGTTTCTCCATCTGCCAGACCCACAAAACTAGGAGTGGGCGATGGGTTTGGGGCCCAGAGAACAAAGGACTCTTCTGCCTCCAGGTCCTGTGTGCTCCTCAATGTTCCGGCTGAGCCAGGATGAAAGGTTGTCCCGGAGCCTCTGAAGTCAGGCGGGCTTGACTGCCCCCATGGCTGCCGCATACTCGCTGTGTGACCCCAGGTAAGTGACGCCACCTCTCTGAGCTCGTTTCCTCATTGATAAAGCAGGGGTGACAGCCCTGACAAGACCGGAAGAGCGTGGAGGAAAGCGAGTGGGTTTTGCAGTCGGTTGCACTAGGTTCAGATTCCAGCGCTTCGCCTCCATAAGCCTCAGTTTCCTCATCTGGAAAGTGGGGTGTTAGGACCTCCTGCCTAAATTGTTGTACAGGTTAGTGAGATAATAGCTATAGAGGTCGATAATGTTCATCTCCCCAGGAGAGAAGGCGGCGGGACGCGGGGGTGTCCACTGCATGTCGCTACAGAGGCCACCCCGCACCAGGCCTAGCACCTGCCCCAGCGTCCGCCCAGAGCCCCAGGTTAATCGGACGTCCCCAGAGAAGTGGGCTCAGAGCATTCCTGCTGGCAGCGGGCAGCCTTTCGGGATAAGAGGTGACATTCAGAGAGACACTAACCAGGCCACATCGACCATGAAAGACTGTGCTCGAAATCAGAATCATAAAGACAGGGCCTTCCATCCCAGCACCTCCGACCCTTTGAAATGCCCCGCCAGACGCCGCAGCAGTAAGTGGGAGCCAGGTCTCAGACACCAGGCCAGGAGGCAGCTCTGAATTGCTGAGCCGAGTACCACATCGGTCACATTCTGGGCTTCGTGCGTTCATTTTTCTTCCCTGGGCCAAAGCAGTGACACATGTGCCCTGGGGTCAGGCAGCCTGGGTTCACAGCCGCTCACGGCGTTCCTGTGCCTGAGTGTCCCCACCTGCCAGGTGGGGCTGAGAGTAACCCCTACCAT